TCCCTTTTTGATCAGGTCTTGAATAACCTACTCAGCTATACGGCACAGTTTTTAAAAGCTGAATGAGAGTCCTTTGGTAGGGTTGTGAATATATACAGGACTCCGGGCAGTGTGCCAGAAGATGATGAGATTTTCTTTGCCAATAGTATATTTTTCCCTGACTGCTATTATAGTAAAAACTAACAAAAACACTATTTGAGAAGGTAGTACAAGAAAATCCATAAAGTATTTTAAGGAAAAGATTTGAAAGCAATTTTACTCTTTTGTGTCATTTTGATGCAAATATTTCCAAAAGGTTTCATCAGTCTGTGCCTTTCAGAAACAAACAGGTAAAAGGACTGACCACTGTGTGATAAACTGCATAGACACGTAGAGAAAGATGCTTGAAAATACATTTTTGGAACTTTTTTCAAAATACCATCAACGACAGACCTAGATTTGAAAGAAATCTCTGTACACGTGACACAAAACCATAGAGAAAATTAAACTTTGTAAACTGTGGATGACTGGTTGATGCCTCTGATGTTTGTTGCAACACCTCGTCAGTGATCAGTGGATCTACACATGTTAAAACCTTTCCAAGATAAAAATATTTCTGAACCAAATCCAGAAAAACTCCCACCTTCTGTGAGCTCATTAAAGTGGCCTGAGGCATCTGGCTTTAGAAGCCAGCATGTGTGATGGTTTGGGGGTATTTAGAGGATATGCCATGGGTAACGTGCATATCTAAGAAGTCTCCATTAATACTAGCTAATATGTCCGAGTTTTTGAGCACCGCATGCTGTCATCCTACTTTTTCTGGGGAGGCTATGGTTGTTTTGGCAAGACAGAGTTAAACCAAGTTCTGAAGAATCTTCTTCTCTGCTTGGCTTCTCCCTCTTTTGGAGAGTCCACTTTTGGATTTGTGCCACATCTATGATTTGCCACTTTTAAACCAGAGGTTTTCTAATTAAAGTGCCTCTGACTGGAGTTAATAAAATCAAATAAACAGATAAAAGTGAGGGCCACGAGCTTGTAGTTCTCTGTGTTTGGGAGTGAGGATCAGAGATGTTCTCTCACGCAGAGCTGATTCCCATTGAGGATGGCATGATGGCTCTGTAAATTAAACCAGTTGCAATCCTTAACTGGCCATTTTAGTCATTCAGTGAGGGAATACCAAAATAAAATCCCAGTAATGGCTCCTCTTTAAAACCGTCTCAATTCCCATCCATTTAGTCAGAGGAAAAAAATGTCATAATTTCAATGCCATCAACTGAAGGAAACGAGCATAGAATGCATTTGAAACCAGGAACCAATTAAATCCCCACAACTGAATGAATGCATTTCATATTTCTAAACTTCACAGCAACAAATTACTATCGATGCTCAAAAGAGGGAGAAAAAAAAGCTCAATTTGTTGCTTCCATTCAGCTGATTGCAAGTAAAGATTGTCTACATCAAGAGGATCCCGATTTGGCAGCCACTGATCAATGGCCATCTCTGCCACACCGCAAACTCCCAACAGAGACTTCAATGCCCCCCTCTACCACCACCTCCCTCCAGTGAGCATGTAACAGCAAGCCTGGCTGCTCTGTGCGAAGCTTAGTTG